GCGGCGAGCGAGCGGCGGCAGCGCGGCGGAGCCCGGGGCCGTGGATGCTGCGTGCGGAGGCGCTGCCGGTTACGTAAAGATGAGGGGCTGAGGTCGCCTCGCGCTCCTGCGAGTCGGAAGCGCCCCGCGCCCCCGCCCCCTTGGCCGCCGCGCCGCGCCGCGCTCGTCGTCCGAGGCCAGGGCAGGGCGAGCCGAACCTCCGCAGCCACCGCCAAGTTCGGCCGCGCCGCCGGGGCTGCTGTCGCCCGCACCATGTCCGCGGCCGCCTACATGGACTTCGTGGCTGCCCAGTGTCTGGTTTCCATTTCGAACCGCGCTGCGGTGCCGGAGCATGGGGGCGCTCCGGACGCCGAGCGACTGCGACTACCTGAGCGCGAGGTGACCAAGGAGCACGGTGACCCGGGGGACACCTGGAAGGATTACTGCACGCTGGTCACCATCGCCAAGAGCTTGTTGGACCTGAACAAGTACCGACCCATCCAGACCCCCTCGGTGTGCAGCGACAGTCTGGAGAGTCCGGATGAGGATATGGGATCCGACAGCGACGTGACCACCGAATCTGGGTCGAGTCCTTCTCACAGCCCGGAGGAGAGACAGGATCCTGGCAGCGCGCCCAGCCCGCTCTCCCTCCTCCACCCTGGAGTGGCTGCGAAGGGGAAACACGCCTCCGAAAAGAGGCACAAGTGCCCCTACAGTGGCTGTGGGAAAGTCTATGGAAAATCCTCCCATCTCAAAGCCCATTACAGAGTGCATACAGGTTAGCGGCGTCTCCCTCTCTCTCCCACCCAGCTCTGGGGTTAGTTAACCTTTGGCCGGGCGGCCTTCCTGGGCGTTAAGGACACCACGCTCGGCCTCAAGGGTGCCAACATTTTGGATGAGATGCTGTTTAACTCTTTAAATAATTGAACCGTGTAGAGAGACGGAAAGCTCGCTCTCTCCTTAATTGTCTCCAGCCTCTGGAAGCCATGGAGAGCATTAACCTGGCGGGCAGAGTGAGTGTCGAGGGCCAGCCCCTGTGCGTGGCTTCGCGGGGAGTGTGGTGCCGCCCTTCCCGCCCCGCCCCCCCAGGACTCCCGCACCCCGCGACGGTGGGGCCACCCCCACCCGGGCAGACGCTGGCATTGGGGAGGTCAAGTGGCGTATCTCTTATTTGGTTCTGTGGAGGGATTGCAGCGGAATGGCCAAAACCTGGGGAGAAGGGCACACTTTACATGGAGCCTTTTAGGGATGACTAAGGACTCATTTAGCCGTATGCTTGCTACTTTTCAGGGCTTGCCAAGGTGGTTTTAAATTTGGCCAAGAGTCCCCGGGGAGGTTTAAAATAACACCGCTTCAGGCAGCACCGGAGTTTGATCAAGTGATGGGTCGGTGGGTTAACTTCATGATTAGTTGGCCTTTGTAATGAGGTTTCCGAGCCGATTTTTCGTTTCCACATGATTGGTGGCACCCTTCCCCTGAATAGTTAGGGAGGAGGTGTGGCCCTTGTCTGAGGTCAAGGCTCTGTAAAGAACACGCCTGGAGGCCTCGTGCAAGGGTGTCTCCCAGGGACAGCAGAAGGCAAGGGCTGACCCAAGGAATGTGGCCAGAAAGCCATATGCAGTACGGAACGGGGCTTGGAGGCTTAAGCGGGGAACCTCGGTCAGCCGATTCTGCTGGTTCTGTTTAACACACTCGGAAAAAGTTGGGAAGGGTTGGGCCTTGCTATGTCACCATCTTTAGTAAGGTTCTTTTTACAACTGCTGTTCTGATAAGGAAGCACAGGGCTTCATTCGTTCCGTGGAACTTCTTTTCCTTCTATCCTAGGACACCATATTTAAGAAGCTGTTGGAGTTATTTAGAAAAGTATTGTCATTTTGGGGTGTAATTGTTGGTACTTTTAAGATGAGGCCCTGGGCCTGTGGTTTTAAAATGATCCTTGGTTGGTCTGCTTTGGTTTTGCTTCTTAAAAGAAAGGCCACGTAACTGCATTTCAGATTTTATTTCCTCTGGACGTGTTTCTTGTGGAGGTGGCTGCTGGCAAAGGAGTAAAGCTGAATTTCCTCCATGGTTAATGCAAAATCAGGCTCTGTTTGGGGTTGTCATCCCCAAGTTGCCACAAAACAGCAGTTTCAAGTTTGTATCTGTAAGGTTGTTGAGAGGCAGATGTGTGCCTGAGCTGGGGGATGCGACCTCTAGCGTGACTTCCCTGGGGTCAAGTAGGGGTATATTAACCCGAGGGTGTTACTCACCAACAGCTGTTGGGCGGGCCTGGCCTCGTCAGCCATGTTCCCGGAGTTCAGTTGTTCACAGGGACACTCACTGCCTGCCACCTTGAGCAAAGGCACTTTCTCCTTCAGGGAGCTGCCCAGGCGGGTAGCTGGGGAACCTCCAGTGCTTCTGTGTGAGCTACCTGAGTCTTTGCGACTTAGAAAAAAGAATCCCGGAGTTCTGAACCATTCAGCTGAGTGATCTTGTCAGGCATTTATAGAAATGGCTGCTTACGTGTGCGTGCATGCGTGGTGCTCTTTAATTCTCCATAAGGCACGTCGGCTCAGCTGTTCCAGGAGAACCTTTTACACAGTCAGGAGTGGAAAACCAAGTGAAATGTTAATCCCATTTTAAATGCTACAGTCAGTCCTTTGGAACTAGTGATATGGTGAATGCAGGTGTCTTATTTATGTTTTGGGGGCTCTGTAATACCAGGACACGGTCGAACAAAAACCTCGGCCTCTGTAAATATGGTGGGAAGCATACTCCCACGAAAGAAGGCATGTGGAAAGGATACTCTAAGAGATGCGTAGGTCTTGCGCGTTTGGAAGTTTCTGGTACGGCTTCGAGTTAGATTGTCTCGGGGAGCGGGGAGAGATGACGGAAGGACCTTCCTGGTTTGCTTTGGCTGGTATTCAGTCCAGGAGGTGGACAGGAGGTAGCCCTTGGAAAGTCTGCATTCTGTGAAGGTTTTAACAGCTAAAATTCCGGCCACACCCCCTTGCTCAGCGTGGCCCAGTAAGAGTCCTTCCTGCTTGCTGCTTGCTCCCCTCCCAGGGCCAGGACTTCCATAGAACCAGGGGCTTGAGAAGTTGAATCATTTAAAGGAAATTGCATTTGATCCAGGGCTGCTACCTCCGTAGGGTCCTAAGAGAGGAACTCCATTTGGAGTTGGGTTCTCACTTGTCCAATTGCTTC